CAGAACTTGTTTCCTTTGGGAACAGTCACAAACACATGTTTCTTCCTTCTCAACTGCCACTCAATCACATTACAACATAGCAACCAAATAGAAGCTCTGTTTTGTTTGCGAGAAGGGTTGTTGATCACTACACAGTGGGGCTGCAATCTCTCAAGTTGCTGCCAAATACCATCTTGACCCTTCAGAGTGGAAAAGTTGTATCCTGCCTTGAAATCCATAGGAGATGCAACTCTAACACCATTCCTTGAAAGGAACCAAGATAATCCACTATTTCCATGAAGTAACTCAACAACATCAGGATGATTATCATTACAAAAGAAAAAGGACTGTTCTCCAAATTCGGCATCAACATACAGTTCGTGATCTTCACGTAAGTTCTCCGGATTCTCATCGTCTAATGCCGGTATGGAAACATCATGCCACTCATCGTGATCGCGTCTAACCTTCGATTGATTCACACGTACCACTGCCTTACCAGTGTTGGCTTGGACCATAGCTCCTTCTTGTCCAAGTACTGTGGCACGAACCCAACGTCCTTTATCCTTGAACCTTGATGAATCCTGAGTCCAAATAAAAACCTTCTCTCCTTGGAAATAGGGACCGTCACTTGGCATAGTCCTTCTTGCAAGATCTGCTCGAAGGTCCTGAGCTTGTCGTGCTTCTTGATGAGCTCTCAAAGCCACACGTTGTAGTTCCAGATTTGTACGATCTTGTGCGGCGGCATTAGCTGACAATTGCTCAGGGCTTGCGGTCTCAAGGTCAAAAAGATCTGGTGGACGTCTTCCAGTTGCTATCTCTATTGGTGAATATCCACTGATAGTCAACTGACAATTTCTTGCCCAAACTACCTTCTTGACCACTTCTCTGACCGTAACACCACGAAAACGTGGGTCATCCAGATCTATTTTCATCACATGCCACATACGTTTGAACAAACGTACAGCTGTCTCTGCTCGGTTCGGCCAAGGAGTTCTTGGCCCACAAGGACATTGTTGTATACCATGGAACCTGTAGTATTCAACAAAAGCATCTGTGAAAAAGGCTTCGTCTCCTACGATGGCCTTCGGAACACAGTTGTTCTCATCAGACCATTGCCTCAATGCTTGGATGGTGGTTTGATCTATGAGGTCTTTCTGTGCCGTAGCCCAGAGAAGATTTGTGGCACCATCAAGAACAAGTAGAATGATATACTTGTTCTTGTGAAGTTCAACCTCACAATGATCAGCAAAAACAACATCACCAAACATGAAGCTCTAATACCGGAGACTCTGGCTCGTGGCGGAGGTGCCACTGAAGTGTTACAAACACGGCAGTTCCTGACAACTGATTCATACTTCTCTAAAACAGAGTCAGGAAGCTTCAACATAGAAACACGCCTACGAAACTGAGTAGGACTCATATGGTAGTGCTTCACATGAAGCTTGTAAAGCTCTACCTTGTCCTCCAGTCTCTGCAACATCTTCCTATATGCCGGTGTCATTGCAACAACTTCACTACCAGGTAACAAGTGGTTCATGTTTATCACTTGATGGTCCTTTTGATGCTTTAGGAATTTCTACAAGTTCACCTTCTGGCCTCTCAGGTGGTTCTGAGGGAGTATACTCCTCAAGATCATCACCCTTTAAATCATGTGGAGGCTCAGATGGTTTCAACTTGTGTCCTTTCCAAAATGGATCATAACCCTTGGAGGTATACCGAAACTTTGGCGGCACAGGCTTTTCCGCGGCACTGGATGGTACACCTTCCTTCTCTGAAGAGAAGCCTGGTTCCCTGTCCTTTGCAATGGGAACCTTCTCTGAGGAGGAGCGCACCACTGCATCGGGATCACCAATGCCACGGTGCTCAATGCCAGCCTTCCTGATCTTAAGATCTGGAATTTTGGCATCTGGCTTAAACTTAAAAATTGTTCTACCACGCCATTCATAGCCAATTTGTAGGTCCTTCCATTTTGCCTTGCGCCAATCATCTAGCTTCTTGGTTTCTTCTCCTCCTTCTTTCTTCTTGATGATTGTCAGGCGCAAGTCTTCCAGCAAGTCAGTGTCTACAGGACAGGACTTAGTTGCTGGGAAAAGAATCTTCCTATAATCCTTGTGGTGACGTGTCAGTTCTCTCTTGTGAACATCTACTTCCCAGTAGTCAACCACAGGATATGCATGCTCAGCTTCATCTTCATCACTATTGTGATCAACACAGATATGGCCATATTCATAGTGAGTGAAGTGAGAGTAAAAACTCTTCTCACGCCGAACCTGCAAACGCACGTCAGACAAATACCATGCAATATCTTGGAAGTCCAAAACAAGATGAGTACTGGCTGCAACCTTCAACTCCAAATGTCTGATACCAAGAGGCACCGATGTCAGATAAGCATGTTGAGGTGTCAACCTAAGTTCAAAGCCTAAGTTTCTCATCTGTGGCAAGCTCATAAGCAAAGGGACTTCTCCTTCTTCCACTATGTCGAACTCTGTATTGTGGATCGCCCATGTGCGATCATACATGTAAATCACCAGTTTCTGAGAGCAAGAGGCCTTCTGAGAATTGGCAAAGTAAAACTTGCTCTTGGTAGCCTCAAAAGAGTACCATAGTCCGCAATTTGGGTGACTGTCGACATAGTTACAAAAATAATCGACTGCACGCCTTGATCCCATAGCTCTAGTGCATCCAATGTCCAGGATTGCAATAGTTGGCGGGAAGCGATTCTCAGTCAAAAATGAAATAGCCGGCATCTCTTCCACTTCTTCCTCAGCGCTCATAAGCGCAAAGCCATCAGGAACACTTGTGAGCATCTCCTTTGACGAAGAGTACCTCACAAGGGCACTCTTGCCATCGAAGATCGTTTCACCATTGTTGACCTTACAGTCAGCTTCATCTTCACATGAGGTCGTCATGCCTGACAGCAAGTTCACCTCACTGTCATGGACTTCAGCTGCTGTTGTCACACAATGCACAAAGAAACCTTGGTGGCTTCCTGATGCTTGTGAAGATCTTGAAGGTGCAGGCAAGGAGCGTTGCTGTTGTTGATTTGCATAGTTTGCATCTTGTTTGCCATCTCCTTTATCTTTTCCTTTTCCTTTCTTGCCTTTTCTTTTACCTTTTCCTTTTCCTTTGTGGGAAAACCATGCTTCTTCAAGCTGTTGCCAAAAGTCATAGGCATCTTCATGTTCTCCTTGAAGATAGTCATTCATATCTTCGGCAAGAATGGCATCATATGCTACTTGGTTTGACTCCCAAGTATCCTCATAAGGATTCTCCTCAAAATACTCATCTGGATAAGTTGGCGATTGCTCATCAGCATAGTGGCCCTTACCTCGTCTCTTTCCTCCTTTTCCTTTTCCACGAGGTCTGAAAAATCTGCGGCCTGATCTTCCTTTGCCTTTTCCTTTTCTTCTTCCTTTTCCCTTGCCTTTTCTGGCTCTTCTTCCTTGGAATCTCCTCTGGAACCAAGAGAAGTTCTGCTCATCATATACCCAAAAGACATCGTCCAGGGCATCAAGAAATCCTTCTATTCCATCTTCTTCGTCTTCGGCCCAAAAGCCATATGTACCATCGAGTTCTCCTTCTTCAAACACGAGGAATGATCTTCTACCTCCAGCACCTGTCGGCTGCATCAAAGGATTGTCTACTGAAGTCTTTGTCGTGCAGAACATCTCAATGAAAACTGTCTTCAACTCTGCTATGGTGTATTGCTGCAGGACCCTACCACGATGAGTCATCAAAGAGGTCAAAGTGTTCCTCTGGTCCTGAGACAAATCTGCAAGTGACAGCATGAGTAAGGCAATGAGATTTTCTCCCAAAGGAAAATCGTTCTGATGAAAAGTTCTCAGATTGCCATTGATAGTCTGCATAATTTCCTGAATTCTTTCCGCTGTTGGAGCTACTCCATTCATCACTGCATCAGCTTGCATTTGAGTTAGTACCTGAGGATGTGCTTGTGTGACTGGCTCCAAAATGTCCATCCAACTGCTCATAAGCCTTTGGAGTAAAATCTGAAATCTTGTAATCCACTTCATCAAGTCAGCTGATCCGCGATTGAAGCGCACGAATTGCATAAATCTATACAGGAATACATTAGTTGCTCCTTTCACAAAATATGGTCGTAGTACTCGTTTGAAATAATCTACTCCAGCTCCTGGTGGATCATTCGCCTTCAATGCATCCCTGTCTAAAACACGTTTGTATACAGCTGCTTCTCCTTCTAATCTGTTCCTCAATGCTGGTCCTCTCTTCTCATCCTCCAGCTCGGCGATATCGCACCAATCGTCTATGGCATCCTCATAGGAAAACCATGAAGTCTTTCCATCATAAGATGGGGGCACCTTTGTAGTGACCTGTGTTGTCATTGCTATAGCTGCTGTTCTCTTCTCACATGCCTATTCACATAGGCTGCTGGCTCATAAGCCACATCCGCATCAGGCTCTTCCCAGTCGTCAATCCAATCCATGGCCGTTTGCCTAAAAGCAAGTCTATGCCTAGGAAAGGAGCTCACCTGGGTCTTCCAGGATCACTGCTCCGCTACCACTGAAAGAGTGACTAGGGCGTACACGGTTGAGGTGCAGACCGCTAGTGTCTTTTATACGCAGAGTCTTATCCTCTTGAATCTTGAGCCTTATGGCAGTCAAGCATGGACACACTAGATAGGCCACTGGAGTGGAACCTGTACAAGTAGGCCTCTTCATTTCAGGGGGGGGGTCTGTATTGAAAAATCAATTCCAAGGGGGCGGGGGGGGGGGGGGTGTTTTGAAAAAAAAGTGGGGGGGGGGGGTGGGGGGGGTCTGAATTGAGCGATCAATTATTAGACCCGGACGTCCCAACACTTGCTTCGCAAGACAAACTCAAGGTATCCCCTAAAGGGCTACCTTTCGTGATTAGACCCGGACGTCCCAACACTTGCTTCGCAAGACAAACTCAAGGTATCCCCTAAAGGGCTACCTTTCGTGAACTGTTAAACTGCCTTGCTTTATGTTTCTCATCCATTTGAATCTCGTGTACTCTAAACACATTAATCCGCTGCAGCGCCAACTTTTAGCTCCACAATGCGTTGCGTGGGCCCCTGCGCTCTGGTGCATCACCTGAGAGGACGAAATTGACACTGAGTCAGTACTGCATTGAACCTAGTCAGTGCTAGATGGCAGCCGTAGTACAGTAGTTCATCACATATTTTGAGTTTCGGATTGTTGAAGACTGCATGCTTATTGTACATATGCAGCGGAAAGCTCGGAAGCACTACTGCATCTCTTCCAAGATCAACATACCTATCAACAGTTTCTTGTTTCTCTTCTTATTTGCTCCAAAACCTTCTTCCCAGGCAACTAATGCACAAAACTATATAGTATGAACATGTATGAACCCCTCTACAATGAATGTCTTTCATATTGCTTCACAAATGCAGGTTCAATCTGTCAGACAAGAATTACACTGGAAGTGGACAGCCGAATCTTAAAAACCATGGACCTCTTGAATTCAGAACACCTCAGAAGCCACATCAAAAGCCAGTATGAACATTGAACCACAATCACATGATTCACAGGATCATGGACCATGGATACCTTGGGCGGAGGCACGTCTTGCGATAGCTCAAAATGCAGCACATGTGTTTGATGTCACACTTTTTTTTGTGCAGAAAGGACCGGCTTGGAGACACGGATTCCTGGCATTTCTCATTGAGCATCTTGACACAGAGGGCATCTTCCCATTGTGCGAGTGAGGAGAAGTTGATATTCTAAGTGGATATCAGCCACTGTAGTCAGCTGAACTGTAGGGGGTTGCGTTTGTACGCTCATCGTTGTCGCAGTCAATTCTCTGGTTTGTTTCCCAGCTCATCCCTGTGATTCATTTTGATGCGGCGTTCGGCTGTTGGGGGGATTGTATCTATGCTCCTGTGGTCAAAGTCTGTAGCAAGCTCTCCGTGTCCAAACTTTTAGATTTTTGGGCGACGATGAATAGAACCAATAGAACCCCTCCGTGCTCTCTTGCTCTCTCTCTCTCTCTTTCTCTCTCTCTGTCTATCTATCTATCTATCTTTCTTTCTCTCTCGCAATCTCTCTCTCTCGATCTATCTATCCATTTATTTATCTATCTATCTATCTATCCCTCTCTCTCTATCTCTCTATCTACAGTATCTATCTATCTATCTATCTATCTCTATCTCTATCTCTACCTCTATCTCTATCTCTATCTGTATATCTCTCTCTCTCTCTTTCTCTCTCTCTCTATCTCTCTCTATCTATCTATCTATCTATCTATCTATCTGTTTATCTATCTATTTATCTGACTATCTATCTATCTTTCTTTCTTTCTTTCTGTCTGTCTTTCTGTCTTTCTCTCTTTCTCTCTGTCTCTCTCTATCTATCTATCTATCTATCTATCTATCTATCAGCCTTTTGGGTCTAGCAGGGCTAGCCGGCCACGCTTTCGGCGCACGTGATGCCTGCGTGGTTACGGCTACCCTGAGAGCAGTTTCTTGACGGGAGTCAGGGCTCCCTCACGGCTGGATTGGAGCCATCCTTTTCCTCTGCAGCCTGATCCTGCCTCTGACCTTGGAACTTCGTGCTCTGCTGGACCTACCTGGTCCCAATTCCAGGTCCGTCACGAACCGCTCCTTTGTTGAACTCCTTTTTTTCTAGTGACGGAAAAGGGCAGGGTTGGACGAGGCCATGCCTCGTCTGAGAGGGGACAAATCGGACTCACACCACCACGATGCTCCCCCCGAAATTCATGGCACAGGGCCTTCGGGATCCCACGGGATCAATCGAATTTGTAAACGTAGCTTCAAAGGAGCACAGCAACGACTTGCCTTACACGGTTTCGCCTACTACCATGGCCGGCTGATCACTGGGCTACCATCGAACAGGCATGAGCAGACACCCAGCTACGTGACACCGTCTCGCCCTGGGAAGACCCGGAAGCACCTGGCGATTTGTTGCTGGAATGCCATGGCTTTGAGCTCTGAAGGATTCGTGGAGCTGTTGCAGTGGGCCTCTGTCCGTCAGATTGCAGCCTTGATGATTCAAAGCACTCATTGGTCCATTGAAGAGCCTTGGACATCATATGGATACCATATTATTCCATCCCCTGAACTCTATAAAGCCGGTGGTGGACTGATCACGGCAATCAGAGCTTCGATATGTGCCATACACGGCATCAGCTATCAGGACTGGCTACCAGGTCGGCTTCTCCATGTCCGCTGTCATCTCAACAAACATCAACTGGACTTGGTCAACATCTATCAGGTTCCCATGCAAAAGACTTTAACCAGACCGGAACCTCTGAAGAAGAGACTTGACATTTGGAATTCTGTCCATCGGTTGCTTCATCAACTTCCGGTTAGGAATACCCTTGTGTTGGGAGGTGACTTCAACACCTCCACGCAAGCTCGAACAGGAGTAGCTGCCTCAGATGTGCACATGTTCAGGAACCTGCTCAAGGACTATGGTCTCACGAATCTCAGGACCTCTGAGAATACTCCTCTTCGACCACAGACTACCTCTTCATGAGACAGGCCCAGTGCGACAAACATGCACGGTATACCAAATGTTTGGTGGACTTTCCATTGACCCAGGACAGAGCCTTTCCAGATCACAGATGTTTTGCCCTCCAATCACACCAAGGCCTTGATTCGAGCTGCACAGCAACAACAGGACGGCTGGAACAGGTTTTTGCAAGAAGCTACGACATTGACTGGTATGGTTCCCATTCTGGATCCGGAATACCTGACCTCTCAGCTTCTCCAAATGAGCACCACTGCTACTCGGAAGGTGGGTCCCTCCTTCCCACTCTGGCTACAACCGCAAAGCCGCTCACTTGTTGCCAGCAAATGGAGGAACCTCTTCAGAGCAAGACACTGCGGTCGAGATTTGCAAGGCTTGTTCCTGAGATCACTGGACCAAGTTCATTCAACATCACAAACAGTTGCAACAACATTGTCGGCAAAGCAAAAGAGATCTTATTCGGAACATCACTGCTTCAGCTGCCAGGGCCGCGATTCAACATGACTCTCGAGCCCTCTATGAGGCTATACGGGCACTCACACCCAAACAGCTCTGCAAGGCGATCAGATTCAGAGGATCCCATGGACAGATTCTTGCACCTGAACAGGAAATTGACTGGCTATGTGACCATTTTTATGAAATTTTTGGTCGAGACGATCAACCTTGTCCGTTGACATGTGCACCATGGTTGATTACAGCTGAAGAAATAGCAGTCCAGCTCTCCAAGACCAAGACCCATAAAGCTGTTGCTCCAGGTAAACAGCCAGGTGTGATCATCAAGTCATTGGCTGGGCCGGGCAGTTACGGCATGAGTACAACATCTAGTACAACCTCTGTTTCCTTTCCCTCCTGGTTGCGGGTGCACTCTTCCAAGTACACTGGCAACTGTCTGCAACCGTTGGCAACCATTCCGCGGTTGGGTCGCTATGGCGCTGACATTGGGGTAAGCTTTTGGAGGAGTTCTTAGATGGAAGTCTGAAATACATTCTAGCAAGAATGTGCCACCCTTGTGAGTCTGCCACCAGCACAGACGAGATCAGAGGCCCATTACAAAAGACAAAGGCCCAGATACAAAGGAAAAAGTTGTTCATCGCCCTTCCAGTGGCCTCGTTGGCCACAACTGGCGCAGGTGGAGTTCTTCTTTCTTGCATCTGGAGTCGGCGCTTGCCTTTGCCCTTGCCCTTCCCTTTTGACTTGCTGTCTCCCTTGTAGCCGCGGCCCTTGCGCTGCTGAGCCGTCTTATGCTTGGCTGTCCAGCCTGCAGAGAAAGCTTCCTGAAGGGCACCACGCACGATCGACGGTGTCCAGGTCCTCCTCATCTTCATCATAGTAGCCCTCATCGTCATCATATTCTTCCTCTTCAGGCATGTCTTCTTCTGCCATGAGGGCTTCATGTTCCAGATCTTCATTGTCTGGATCTCCAAAGGAATCCTCCTCATCGTCATAGTCCCAGTCGTCCTCCGCATCCGCCCAATGTTGGCTTGTACGGACCCCGACGATCCGTGCGCTTGAACGACTTGCGAGGCGGCGGCCTGCGGATTGGTGCTGCTCGGTCTTCTCGATGTGCTGAAGGCTTGCGCGCATCCAAATGGAGTTGGCTGCACCTGAAACGAAGCACCCGTTCAATGTCGGCTGACTTGTAAGCACCTCCAGCTGCAAAGAACACATCATAGCGTTCTCTGCGTGCGAGCGCGGCTCGAGAAAGCATCCTCTGGGCGAATGCCCTGTCTGAAATCACCGAGCCAGGGTCTTCTTTGAGGTACTCTGTTCTCAACCTCTTCAAGGTGGCCCGATAGGCCGCCACGCTTTGGCCTGGGAGGCGTCTGTACGACATGAACTCGGACTGCTTCTCTTCGAAGCGTTCATCAGCCTTGACCTCATATCTTCAATTTCAAGTTGATTCAACACCTCGCGAGCTTCGCCCTCGCAGCTGAGGAACATCGATACGGCCAGTTCTTCATCTTGAAGTTGATATAGCTGCCGTTGTGCCTGAATCGTCTTGATCCAGTTTCTGTAATGGCCCCTGTCACCCTTGAAAACCTTGAGCTTGACCTGCCCGAGATTGGTGCGGTTGCGCTCGCCTGAACTGCCTGTCAGTGAAGAGGCGCAAGACCGACACTTGTGACCTTCCTCAGCCTACGAAACCACATTCAACATGGATGCAAGAGCTTCAATCCCAGCAGACCCCCCTGGCAGTCATGTTCCATGTCTATGGCCCAACCTCCGGAAACTATCCAGTCAACATGACTTGGAGGCCATTGTGAGCAACACGGTGTATCAGGCAGCCCTCAAATCCTGTTGTGTCTAACGTGGAAGGCAGTCACGTCGTCCTGGAGGAGTTGCCCAACAGCTGGTACAGGATCATGGTGCCATTGTTGAGCAAGCCCATTCCTTGGAGTGCAAATATCAGAACATCGCTGCCGCCATTGGCCAACCTTGTCTTTGTGGCAACTACTCTACCAAAAAAGGACACAGATGTATGGTATTCCAACAGCTTGCAGTCACTTGGCAGTGACACCACAACAGCCTATGGATGCGCCTGCCACTGCCAAGGTTCAGCCTCCATCTGAAGATCCACTCTTCGACTGGAATGATGCAGATTGGTGCGCGAAGCTCAGTCAGGAGTGCAGCATATGCCCATGTCAATGTGAGCCTGGGGACATGGTTGCACACCTTCGTGATCATCACAATGATCTGACGCCGTCAATCTTGACAAGGGTGAACGCACGCTTGAGCCCGACTCCGTACTGCTGCAGTCACTGCTGGAAGGCTCCAGAGGTGGTAGATCGGTGTCCCCTCACGTGGAACTTGGCAGCCTTTCTGGCCTCCCACGCCACACTTCGAGATCACACCAGACGACCTGATGGGACAACTGACGGACACCTTCGGAGGCCTGCTGGACGTCCCTCCTCGTCAGCAAGCTCTCAAGCGGCCACGAGATCGAGGCAGCATCAAGAGATTCCTCCGACCAACTTCCAAAGATGGTCCAGCTGTTGGCTACGCTGGCATTGAGACACGAGAGCCAGTTGCAGGCCCTTGCAGTTCAGGACACGTTCATCCTGTTTCTCCAGCCACGGACCTCCAGCATCATACCCGTCATCCAGCAGACGACTCTGGCCTGGAAGCAAGAAGTAGAGCAGAAGACTGCTACTCAGTCCTTGCGTCACAAACTAGTGACCATGATCTCCCAGACCTTGCTGGATCGAATGTTGAAAGTGACCCAAGCCACCACAACGATGGACATTTGGCAGGAAGCCATTCGACATTCCCTCATCGAGACCGGGAACCAGCAGACCAAACAAGTGCAGGTAATGCAGAAACAGGCCATCTCGATCACAAGCACGCAGAGTCTTCTGGAGGAACTGGTCGAGCTGATCTGGGACCCAGCGGCAGTGGTCAGATTCAAATCGCTGAAAGCCTCCGATCAGGACACCAATCAGACCAAGATCATGCCATGCATGCTACAGGTGAGCGTCAGGCTGAGCAATTTCCAAAACGACTGTTATCAGAACGCTGCTTTTCCGGCCATGTTGCGGGGTAAGCTTCAACTCAAAGATCCTATGTGGAATGAGCTGGGGGAGGGTTCTGAGAAGTTTGCCGAGCCTTTTGGCATGGACAGTATGTGGATCAGCTTGAAAGATCTCCCTGGGTTTGGGGAGTTCCTCAGGCCGTGGGGTGAAGGTCAACAGGACCTCCATGAATTTCTTGGCAGGTTCCTCCAATGGGTCAAGCCACTTTTTGTGAACAGCTCATGGCAAAGGATTGTACAGGGAGGGGATGAGATCAGAATCACTGATCGTGGGGCACCGCACAATCCTCCAACCCTGAGCGCACCAGTAAATACTGCGGAGACTGACCTCCAGACACTGGTTGATGGATGGACGCACTATTTAGGCACGCAAACCACGTTCACCGCACGTGGCCGCCTTGCGTGTTTGCACCTTGACCGCTTTGCCCATGACGACCAAGGCCATCTTCGCAAGTGCAGCTGGAACCTTGAAGTGAATGCCAGAATTTGGCTGCCAATCCAAGGCGACAAGAAGCTGACCTTTGTTCAGCACCCATACATTGTGGTGGCGGCTGTCTCACATCAAGGACAGGATGAAGCAGGACATCTACAGGCCTCTGGTCTGTCCGCTCAAGGCTGGGTTGTGTTCAATGACCTTGTTGAAGCTCGTGTCATTGGAAGCCAACCGCCCCTGACTGACAGTTGGATCTTTGTTTGGCTGGCCCGAGAGGACGCGATCGACTTAGGACTTGGCAGGTTCGGGCTCCTTGGAACTGACACATTCCCAAGGGCCATGGCTACTCTGCACCAACAGCATGCCATGCACGTGGAGCGCTACCCACTGCAGCGCCTGTGGCAAGCTGATCATCTCCCACGAGGCGCTGTGCCGCCATGTGAGCCTGCGACATCCTGAACTGAGTGAAATACTGAAGGTAGATGATTTTCTGCAGACTCATCAAGAGACTGCAAACATTCCATGCCATGAATGTGCGGCGCGTTCACTTTTGTCAGCTCGCCCTCTGCAGCTGTTCCATATGTGCAGAGTTGACCTGAACATCAGGATTGGGATTGAGTGGAATAGACGCCAAAGGGCACACCCAGGCCCCTTGTTCGCACCAGGCCGCACTCTGGCTGAAGAACGCCTCGTGTTGGCTGACCTTTTCAAGACCGCCTAGGAAGCATGATGACTGGTGTTCTCCGCGCGTCATTTTTAGGAGGACTTGTGATTGTGAACCTGGTCCATGCCTGACCCACCGCTGGTCACTGGTCACTGTGTTCTCCCTGCTGAGCACTTCTTTTGTCCTGCTGGACCGCCATAGCGGCTTTTGGTCCACGGTTGAATTTTTGTGAAATGAGTGCACCACAGTGCGGCATGTCTGATCACCAGATCAGCCAGAGGAAAGCCTCTGCGCCCTCGCTGTCCGGAGACCGCTTCGGAGCGCCCGAAACTGAAAACTGAAAACTATCTATCTATCTATCTATCGATCTATCTCTCTCTATATCTCTCTATCTACAGTATCTATCTTTATCGCTATCTCTCTCTCTCTCCCTCTCCCTCTTCTCTGCGGTTTTGATATTCAATATTCCGCAATCCCAAACCAAGGAGCACATGCAGTGTTGGCCCCCCAGATGTCCGTGACAGCATTGTATGATAGCAGTTCAGTGCCTCAAATATATACTTCAGCAGCATACTTCAGCAAACGTTGTGGTGTTTCGGTGTGTCTATCCAAATTTGCCTAGGTCTAATGCAAGGTTGTGATGATGCAATCGTTCTTTTCTGTCTCCCAAACGGAAGCATCAGCGCGGTTCATTGCGAAGGCTGCAGTTCAAAGGATCTGGTGGAGACTGCCCTGAAAATGATGTTTTCTCGAAGATGTGCTTCTGGCGACGTAGACTAGATGACGACGCTGCTGCATTTTACATGCTACAAAGATAGCGCTCAGATGAAACATGGCGGCTCAATGACTTTGTGAACTGCTCAGATGCAAGGCCGACATAGTATGAACAAGTTGTTGACCATCCAAGTCCACCATGTTCGGCGCATGTTGTCGGCTGCACAAGTGTTCTTGCAAACTGGGAGGACCTTGAGAACTATGAGTGAGCGTGGAAGGGACATGCAATTCAACAGCACCCTTGCCGGCCCTGTTTTCTGCGGTTGTTTAAAGAACTCTGTGCTCCACACAGTCTTGAGTCTCTACACTTTTGTCTCTAAAGACTCAAGTTTCCAAATTACGCCGGCGTAGACCCCAGATAGCAAAAGAAATTTGTGGGCAGCAGCAGCACCCTGCAGCGGCAACAGCACCCAAGCTCCAAAGCGCACACAAGCCTATACTTGAAGTCAGAACCCCAATAGCTCTCGCTATCTGGAAAAAATTCTAGGAACCAAATCATTAAGGCTCATCCCCCACCCTCAGGCCTGCAAAGCTTCAAGCCCTCCTGTGTCCGACCTGACCCCCTTAAAATGCGTCTGTTTAAGTCCTTGTTATATAATACACTACATCCCTACTTAGCGTATGCTCTTGTTCCATGAAGCGCATAGGTGCTCCATTTTTGCTCTGCGGATGTCGCTAGTTGCTAGAGTTTCGTTCATTAGTGCGCATTGCTTTCCCAAAAGCAAACATCCAGTTCTTTTGGTCATTTTCATGCAATTGCAGGGGTTCGAGATATAATGGCAGGAAATGTGGCCTGATCAGAAGACTGAGCGGTCAAACATGAACAAAGCTCAATATAAAATAACTTACAAACATGGTGTTAAAGGTTCTACTTGTTGATGTCGCCGCCGAGCCTTCTTCGTGCGACTTCACGGAGCGACGAGGCCTCGGACATTGAACATAACAAGCCGCTCCTAGTAGCTTCTTGTTCCTAGTAGCGATGCCCTTTGCTCCTAGTAGCGTCCTATTGGAAAGATCTGCAAAACCCGGAAACCCTGGTTGACTCAGCTGGTTGATCCATCTTGCAACGCATTGACGTTGTTTGCTAAAGAAAAAACATTTCATCGCCGCACAGCCATCCTGGAAGCAGGGAAAGTGGAAGAGCAAGGTAGGTATTCGCCGCCAATTTCCTTCTCGGAAAGGGCATACTAGAACTTGGGAAGCATATTGATTTGTAGGAGCGTGCTTAGAATAGAGCTACTAGACTAGTAGCGGCCTACCCGCACCTTTCGAGGCCACTGTCGATTTTGCCCCTCGACGGGCCCCGCCTTTCCCCCATCACGCCGCGCAGTGCACCAGCCAACAAGCGTCCCCCTGCTGGGTTGCTGCGTGATTCCTCCACAAAAGTCCAACTTAAGCTGCTGCTAGTGAGAATGTTCAATGATGCTGAATGCGCTGCACTGTACATGTCAACATTGTTCTTCAGATTGTGTGACACCCTGCAGGCCTCCATGCAACAACAACCCAGATGGGCTCCAACAAAAGTAACAAAAAGAAGGGGTCTTGCCTATATATATTCAAAGGTAGGCAGGGTCGGTGATGAGGTATTATTTGGGAAGCTTCAAGTCAACGTCTCCCCGATGTTTGAATGCTCAAGCCAAACTGGGGAGACACCCCTGAGGAGCAGTGCCACTGCTGGTACCTCAGGTTAAATTTTCTTCAGTTTTCTTTGCTGCCATGGCCAGTGATGATGCACAGAAGCGCCGCGCCGTCGAGCAAGCCAAGCTCGAGCGGTGGTGCGCAGCTCATCACATTGAGGCAGCCTCTGACCTGGCCTTCTACTTCATGACCTATGAGGAGGCCTTGTGTGGCCGATGGCTGGGAGCAGGCTCGACGCGAGGTCGAAATTGGTGCTGGTGCCCTTGTGCGGGACCTTTTCCGTCGTGAACAGGTTTCGCAGGCTGCGCCCAGGCCAACTACATCGCCGACTTTGACGCCGCAGCCTACTCCATCTTTTGCCGGGCCCGTCAGGCCCAGCGCCCAGGGCCACCTGTCGGGTGGCCCTGTTGGCGGCGCCATGTCCTTCTTGCCCCCGCCTGCTGAGCGCTTCGCGGCGTTCACAGCCAACTTCGAGGCAAGGCTCAAGGGCGTGCTGCAACGGGCGGAGGCCGCCACGGTGAAGCTGGCAGGAGTTGCAGGGGGTACTCGCATCCGCTGGAGTTGCACAGCCGGACAAGCACCTGCTGGCCACCTTTGTTCGGCAGCATGCTGCACCTACTCGGGCCTTTACCGCGCTGGGATGGTTGGTCCGTAACTTGCGCCTGCCGTTCAACATGTCGGAGGTCACCAAGCCTCGGGCTGGACTAGGCGCACGCCTCGGTCAGGGGCAGGCCCAAGCTGCTACACTGGAGCCGTCTATGGTGTTGCACGCTGGAGCTGACGGTCGCTAATCCCCACTGGCCTTTGCTTTTCTGCGCCTATGCTATGTGCTTCGGGGTCGTCCGGTACACGCACCTCCAACGTAGTTATTTGGTGGGGGGCAATGGGGGCATCCTGGTCTTTTGGCGCGCGAAAGGCAAGACTGGGAGCCGTGGCGGCTTTGCATGGAGCGTGCCACGCTATTGCGGCACTTTGGATCTGTTGCAGGTGTTGGGCAACCACCTCAACAAGGTGCGGCCCCACTCTGGAGCTGCATTCCGGCGATGGCACTGGTTGGGCTTTGATTCTGCTACTGCCCAACCTGTGGGGACGGCCCAGTTCATCCGTATTTTGCGCCCACACTTGAGCGCTGCCATGGATGTCACAAGTTTGTCCTCGTACTCATTTCGCAGAGTCCTTCCAACGCTGGCAGGCTATGTTGGGCTGTCCGAGACCGAACGACTCGCTCTTGGTCAATGGACTGACCAGTCTTCCAAGACCACGGCGACCACCCCGCTGCAGTATGACTCTCAGAAGCAGCGGCTGGGGCACCAGTTACGCCTGGCTGGATTGCACTTCTTTCAGGACCTCCATATGGCACTGTGGGATGAGTTGCCCGTAGGCTATGCACAGGTGCGCTGGGAGACCTGCATGGGCGACACCGACGAGTTGTTGGCGGCGGACTCCATCCCCTACTTCCGGCCCAAGTTCAGGTCATTCAGGCTACTGGTCGTCGCATCACTGCAGCGCTCCGGCGGAAGCCCCCTTCCGCGGCAGTCCGCCCGGATACTGGGCCCCCTCAGGGGCCGGGGACTACAGTTTCTACCTTTTCGTTCACCAGTCCTTCACGGCCAGTGAAGCGGGCCCGGGCGGCGTCTCCACCCAAGGCAGCTGCAGCCTCCAATGCCATCAAAAAGCCCCACGGTCAACACAGCGGCGGTCTCCTCTGGTTCCAGGATGTCACCCCGCACGCTCATGTTGGCAGCAATGGTACCTACCTGCGTCAGCCCCGACGTTGCAGTGACCCCCCCTCCAAAGGTTGAAGCGAAAGTTCATGCGGGCCAAAGGGACGAGAGGCAAAACCGACACAACTCCTCCCTGACAACACCTGGGATGACTTGGACCCTGGGCCCATCCACAAAGCTCTGTATGAACCGCCAGACCGCGTTCAAAGCGCCAAGGAGCGGCCTGCGAAAGGTTGTAAAGTAGACAAAGCCTCCAGCAACGATCTGCATCTGCTTCTGCGTACTGCGCCCATCCCTCAACAACAGGTCACAGAGCTGAAGGTACTTCGCCACCTTCTCTGCCTTGGGCGTCGCCGACCCTTTCCTGCCATCAACCTGCGCCCCCTGGACTTCAGCTACCTCTGCTCTACTGACTGCCTTCCGAGGGTGCCTGGGCACCTGAGAGCTTCCACGAGAGTTGGGGTACTCCCTCGTAGCTGCTGAGCTGTTGCCGCGTCCACCTTCTCCTATCTGTGGGATGATTAGGGAGGATGACATCTACCAGGTCGGAGGTAGGCCCCTGCTGAATGGGCTCTTTGGGGTTCCCAAAGATGAGTGTGTTGGTGGGGTTGCCGTACACCGACTGATCATGAATCTGATCCTCAACCGCATCTGCCGCCCGCTGAGTGGAGACGTGAGCACCCTGCCCGCGTGGCCTTCAATGCACCCCTTTGTGGTGGGGGACGAAGAAGATGCGAGGTGTTTCTTTTACCTTTTTCTGTGTCGGTAGTTGGCATCGTTTCTTGGCGGGAGGTTCCTCCTGGCTTGGCACCGGACACTACCTCTGCAGTCGAGTGTTGCCCATACGGTTCTGCAACTCAGTGGCCTTGGCCCAGCACATCTACAGGAACATCGTTGGCAAGGCGGTGGAGGAATGTGTGAGGCGTGGGGCACGAGCAGGTTGGGAGGCGGAACGCCGGAAAGACCGAAGTTTCACGTGGAGCAATCCCTCGTTTCGTGTTTACCTTGACAACTTTGACCTCCTCAAGCGGAACCCTCGCTGCCTCGTCTGGCAACGCGTTCTTGAGGTTTGACCAAGTTGTACTTTGAGCCGTCCTGACCTCCTCACCTTTATAATCGATTGTCTTGACCCTCAAAAAATCTTTCCAATTCAACGGACCCAATTCTGGCACTCGCTTCAAAAAATCTTCCGCCTCGTCGATCAAAAACACGCAAACGTTCATCTGCGCAGGTGTGGCCCTCTGTGTAGTTTCACCCACGCAACCAAACAGATGGTTCAACCCACACATCAGTCCTTTCCAAACAACACGAGTCGAGGCTCCGACGCGTTCGAACGAAGGGTGGTTCAACAGTGAGTCAATGGGGAGGGGCAGAACCTCCCCAGTGGACTGGGCCTTGCTTAACGAAGTTGACAAACCATCGATCCAACCCCCCACCAAATCGACAACACAGCGGATCTACACTCGCTCACTTTTTTCAGCGTCCTCTTCGGACGGATCTTGGTTCGGTACAGAGGAGTTGGCACCCTCCATCTACACCACTGTACGTGAAACATCTTCCGTCAAGCCACCAACGTCTGCTGTCAAGGCCAGGAGTTCTCCGATGACCTGCTCATACTCTTTCGTGGCATCACTTCTACTGGCATCAATGCACTGCTGCTCAAGCATCCACTTCCATAGCTCATCCGACACTTCTTTCTCTGTGAGGTGAAGCGGATCTTTCATTTGTCCCCCCTTTGTCTTGTCCTTGTCGTCGCCCTTCTGCCCTTTGCCTCTTCCTTTCTCTTTGCTCTTGCTCTTGCCTTCTGACTTCCCCGTGGACTCGCCTCGGCTGCCCTTCCACGTGGTCTGCTCCCAATGCCCCTTCTGCATGGTCCGGGTCCTGAACTCCTCCTTCGACTCGCGAGCCGCTGCCACCGCCTCGGTTTGCCATGAGACTGAACTCGCTTCGGACCAGCTCCATGCGTTGTGCTATATGATAGGCCGCTCCTGCCGCTATCGACTCCAAAGCCTTCATCCTCTGCACTGTTGTGTCTGCAGCTAGGGCGATTTGCCCCGTGACGAGGCAGTCCAGGATGGAGGCCAAGTTCAACATCTCCCTCGCCATCACAGGAGAGAGCCTCTCCCGTAGGCGCTGGCGGAAGTAGCGGAGCCCCACTGCCTTCAACACGGTCTTCTCCTCCATGACCTCTCCAACGTGTGTAAGCATTTGACGCTCCATGCGCTTCATCGCCTGGGCGCAAAGCGCGCCCGACCGGCCCGGGCTGCGAGCTGGGTCCGCTGCGATTCTTCGAACAGGTGGCCAAGCTCCCCTGTTGAGGAGGACGGGCCAGACGACGAGGAGGCATCAACCACCCTCACGAGTCTTTCTCGCCCTCTTCTCTGCGTTGAACTCCTTCAGCAGGAGCTGTCTCTCCTTCTTCTTATCCCCCTTGTTTGTGGCGTACTCCCAATTGTGATGTGGAGGAGGTGGCGGTGCTGGTGGCAGCTGATGGCGATCCCTCCTCGGCTGAAGGACCGGTCCTTTCCAATGAGAGGTGGAGACCGTGAAGGTGAACGAGGCCTCAATGTCCTTCTAGCCTCCTCGTTCGCAGTCTCCTCACGGGAATGTCTTGATCCGGGGCGACTCGGACCAGCCACTGGAGTGCTCGAAGCCGATCTACTTCTTCTGCGCCTCTTCTTAACCTGAACGACGCCTTCGACTCCTGTGCCTTCCTCTTCTTCTTTTCTGGGGACTCTCTTCTCTTCTCCTCCTCCTCCTCTTCCTGGCCAGGAGATCTATCTGAGACCTCCCGTACGCCAGGAGTGGACTCAGCTTCTCTCTTCTCCTCACTTTCTTCGACCTCTGACTTCACTGCCACCTCCCCTTCTCCTTGTTCATCTGGATGAGCGTCTGGTCTTCCAACCTTCACCTTTGCCTTAGTAGTGTGGCTTGCCTTGTCCTCTTCCGTATCACCTCCTTTACTTGATGCCTCTGATGCCCTTGACGTGCCCTGCGATGCCAACCTTGTGCCACTTCCCTTCTCTCCTTGGGGAACCTCTCGAACTTCTTCTCCGCCGCCTCGAGGAGTTCTTCCAACCACGCCACCACCAGGAGCTGGGGCCTGTGCCAAGGGCCCACGCAGCTCCCGTCGATGGTGATCCAGCCGACTCTAGCTCACCGACCACGTTCCTCACACGCACAGTCGCGTATGAAAGAAACGGGCCGGGATTGAACCGGGCGCCCTCGTTGATCACCCGGTGCAAGCGCCGCACTGTAGGGCACACCCCGCAAGTACAAGCAGGGTTGTGCCCCCACATGGGCTTTGAAGCCAGAGCTGCGGAAGTCACTCAACATGCGACTCTCATCTTTACCTACGGGGCCGTACTTACATATACTTACGGCAGGCCCAAAAATCCTTTTGAAAATAGAGCCCAAGGCAGCCTTTGGCCTGGTGTCTGCTCGCCTTGGGCATCAAGCTGAATGCCGGAAATCGGAACGAAACGGATCTGTAGGTTCAAGAGCTTCAAACACTGGTGTTGGGGCTATGCTCAGAGATTGCCACTAAGGGTTGTTTTTTTGGTTTAATCACGGGGACAAAGTATATACAGTAATTCAATACTGATGCCGAGTTGCCCCTCACCCTGTCTCTTCGCAGGCAGCGCCGGCTCTGCAGCCGCTGGCTCTGCAGCTGCAGGCTTTGCAGCCCGCTTTGCAGCTGGCACTGCCTGCCCCGCTTGCTGCGCCGAGAACAGGGTTCACCACATACACGCACAGCGCAAAGACTAGCTGGATGTGCAAAATGCAAAATACCGTAATCTGCTGTTGCTTCTTGATTCTCAAGTAGGGCGACTGTACCACCCGTTTATGCAATATCTTGCTTCTTGGACATGGAAAGGACAAAGTACCATCCAAATATGTGTGCCGTCGGTAGATAGCTGCACTCGCCTGAGACATCTGATCGGAACTGGACCCAGACTCAGTGTCTGTCTCCAGCGTTGGCATCTTCGGAGCAGGTGGCACTTTCCGGTTGGACACGCTGTTGGTATTTGATTTCTTCACTCGGATCTGACGCAGCTGCTCTTTGGTCAGCTTGACATCCCCATCCAAGGCACCTACCAGGTGCAATTGATCTTCGGTAAGAAGAACATTGACATGTCTCATGCAAGGCAAGGCCAAAGGATTGCAAGTCCCGACAGCCTGCAATGAGTCGCCTGGCGACTACATCGGTTGTGGCCGCCTTGTCAGGTCTCCGCAGCGCCAAAATCTTCTGCGCCTCCTCGCTGAAGGCTGGCCTATCATCAACAAAATGGAAAGTTCAGTCAACGATTACTCGCTGCATCGTTCTCTTGACTCTGACAAGTGAAGCTTCCTCTCATGAAGCTTCGTCAAGAAACTGCCCATAGGAAATAGAAAGTATATATAGAATACCACAATGTGCAAAAAAAGACCAGGCTTTGTCAATACATGAGTCGATTACTGCAACATATTGGGACAACGGGAGGGGTTTGCCCCGAAAGCACACCTTCCCGATGACCCAACATGTTTTTCGGGGGGGCTGGGGACAGTTTCGTTCGTGAAATCGACATTCGCGTTGCACTTTCGGCTTCGTAACGTTTTGTTCGTGGTTCTACTCGCGTAAATCGACATTTGCGTTACGCTTTCGGCTTCGCGACTTGACACTCGCGTTACACTTTCGGCTTAGAGGACATGGCGGGCTCCACGTTTGAGGGTTTTTTGTTTGCGCTTGTCAGTCGTTAGTTCTCTCGTTGCGTTTGTCCGGATTGAAGTGCCCTTCCCCCAATCAGCATCTGCGGGATTTTCCGCGGCTGACCCCTTTTTTGGGATGCCCACATTGATGTTTGCTCCCAAAAGGCGAAAAGCGGGAGAGACTGGACAGCAGACCTGGTCTTATTTGAGTGTCTTGAAAATCCACTCAAGTCATCGTCTTGGAGTTCATGAACTCTAAGACGATAAGTTGAGTGGCCCGGACCAAAAACCCTGTAAAACGCATGCTTTTCTAGCCCTGTGCATGCTGCTGTCCGGGCAAACCCCCCCGTTTACCCATGTTGGGCCACGTGCAAGGCTGAGGACAAAAATATCAATGTGAACCTACCCATACTATTTCCTGTTTGGGAGATAGTGAGGCTCACCGAGCAGTCAGAAAAGAAATGGCCTGACCGTCTCAAGTATATAGTTTGGAGAAAACGACACCCTGCCTCAAGCTAACTTGAAGACCTGGTGGTGGTGCGTGTAACATACTGCGCGCGACTCGATGGCTTGTGAAAGCCAAGACTGCGATGCACATCTTCTCGGCAAACTCAGCATGGAAGTCAGCACTACTAATTCCGTACTCCTGAGATGAGGCCAATCGAAGATAGAAAATATAGAAAATGATTATATATTCCCGAGATAGAAAACATAAATTATGCTTGAAACGGGTGATTTGAAGCCTGTGATATGGTATGGTGTGGTATGGTAGTATGGATTCCACGCTACCATACCACAGGCTTGAAATCATCCATTTCAAACATGTGTCAAAATTACAGTAGATCACAACAGTTTCCGTACTGTGGAAGCTGGTGTCATCTAGTCTTGACTCTTTCGCTGGAATGAAACAGGCTTCGTGAATGAGCCACGATTTCAACTCCCTCTCGTCAATGCCATCATCCTCATCACAGTTTCAGCATGGCATGCGTGCCGAACAATTAACTACAAGTTGCTTGTACAATTCGTCAAATATGATTGCGAGGCAACTGTCAGGTAAACTTCTTTACACTTTTTGCCACTGTGCGCTAGTAGTCAGGAAACCAGTCTTCCCTGAAAGGGAGTTGATGATGTCAGTCTGACTCAGGCCCCTGCCGAACGCAGCTCCACTAAATTCTCATCTGGCACGTCCAGCTGCTTGAGTTCTCGCTCCTACTCAGTTCATTCCTTCTGACAACGAACCATAGAGCTGATTACATGCGATGCCTAGAAAACACACAAACCTGATCAAATGTGTAAATCCTACAGCGAGACTGTATAGAGCTAAAGCTAAACCTAGCACATCTGACACCTCCACAAACGGGGCTGCTGCAAACACAGCTGCCGCAGCGCTGGCAGCACCCCCATCATCTGCCACATGGCCACGGTTTGCTTCTTCCAGGCACGAAAAGCCACCATGCGGGAAGCGCAGATCTTGAAAGCGACAAATGGCCTGAGTTTGGTTTCAGGTGTTTGGTTTTGAACTGATTATTGAATTGTTTTTCCCTGGGGCGTTGCGAAGGGTTCTTCTGTAAAAAGTTTTTGCATAACACATCTGCGTCAATACATTTGGAAACTATCTTTTTGGCTGTTTTTTCCAATTCTGTATAGCTGCATTGGTACGCATGTTATAAGCTACATCTGCAGTTTGCATGCGCGGTTTTTTACCATTGGTATGTATGCTACAAGTACACATGCAAGTTGCACGCGTGGTCTTCTAGACCTGCTACGGAGGTGGTCATACATTTGCAAACACATTTGCAATTTATACAGCTGCAGTCTGCAATTGTATGTATGTTACCATAGGTGCTCAAAGTACAACTGCAGTTTGTAGGTGTGTAGAGTTGCTGCTACGCTAGCATTGCTTTCGCGCTGGGATCTTGCTTTGGTGAGTTGCTTTGGTGTTGGGATCTTGCTTGGGTGGATTGCCTTGGTGTTGGGATCTTGCTTGGGTAACTTTTGCTGAGATCTTGCCTGTCATACGCAAGGTCAAGTATAACTTTTGCTGGGGTCTTGCTTAAGTAATATAGGCAAAATCAAATGTGACTTTCGCTGAGGGTCTTGCTTCAGTAAGCACATATGCAACAGTAAACATGTGTCAACATAGAGTAAAGCATACGTCATTATGTTTGTTGGCGCGTGCGTGATATATCTCAGCTATTTATCTTCTTTCTTAGGCGAAGGCCTAGCCGGACAGGGCTGGCAAAACGTGACCCTGTACGGACATCGTGCGCGTCGAGTGCTCAAGCGTGTGGAGAAATGCGCGTTCTGGTTTGGCTGGAGGCAACTCTGCGGAGATCGTGCACGTTGAGTGCTCAACGCGTGGCGAAATCCGAATTCTGGCTTGGGCGGAGGCAACCCTCCGCAGAGATCGTGCGCGGCGAGTGCTCAATGATGCAGTGAAATACGAATTCCGGCTGCGCTGGACGAACCCTCCGCGGAGATCGTGTCGAGCGCTCAAACGTGTGGCGCGTGGAAAAATGCGAACTCCAGCTGCCGCGCTGGATGAACCCTCTGCAGAGATAGCGCGCGTCGAGCGCTTAAACGTGTGGCGAAATGCAAAGTTTGCGTTACCGCAGTGAACCCTCTGTGGAGATCGCACGGGTCGAGTGCTTAAACGTGAGGCGAAGTGACGAAGTGCGAGTTTGGCTGCAGAAGTGTAACTGTTGTCGAAGTTGATGGTGGCAATTGCCACAGTGCGCAACTGTCTCGGAAATGGCGCTGGCCACTTCTAGGAGACGTGAGAACTAGTCACTTGGAAGTGCAAGCTTTGCACGGGAAGCAACGTGGCTTGACAACTGGCGACTGGGCGGCGCCGTGATTAATGTTACAATTCTTGTATCTAGCCTGTTGCGCACTGTGTGGCCACATTGCGCCATGTGGTTTTGCGCGGCCACAGTGGAAAGTGCGCTTGCGTGAGTCCGTGCCATTGGGGAAAGGAAAAAGTGCTGGTGTAGATTCAGCGTATCGCTGGGGAGCGGGATGATTGGCGGTGTCCACGAGTCTCCTCTTACTACATCCATAATCATCCATGGCAACAATTCTAGAAACGTGAGATGTATTTGTACACATCTCTTACTTCTACTTCCACGCTCCCGGGCCATCCGCCGTCTAGTCACAGTCTTTATTTTGGCCCGGGGCGGGGGGGTAGAAGGAGGTAGGAGCTAGCTAGTAGCTAACAAGTAGCTACCACCGACAGGACGCAGGATAGCTAGCGCTAATGATTTGGTTCCTGAATTTTCGGGGAAACTTAACTAGTGATGGCCTCCAACCTAATGGACGAGTGATACCGTCACATCCACTTGGACTCCACTCCCTGACGGAGCCCGAGGCCTTCCAGTCCTCGCGACCGCAAATCGCTGGGAAAAGCGGGACATCAGCCAACCATGGCGGCAATCTAAAGGCTACACCCAAAGAGCGGCCATTCAAGCAATAGCCTCGGAAGCAATGTTTCTGAACAAAACGCAACAGATCCGAAGGTTCTGTAATTGTAAAAGAGATATATAAAGGGTGTAGTGCAGAAGCATGCTTGTAGTGGTGCTTTAAACCTGGTGTACACAACACAACTTTGAATCTCAACTATCTCAACATGCTCAACAATATGCCATGTACCAAATGTGTGCGAAGGTTGCGTTCACAATTCAATTTCAGGGATTCTATCGCATTACTCCGCCCAGGGACTTATGCTGGAGCGGCGGGGCTCTCGGCGATCTAACAAACACGTCACCACTGCACCCGTCTGCGCTTCAAAGACTTCGCCATACTTCCTCAGACCCCAGGACCCAGTTGTCGAATGCTGGGCAACTGCCTCAGCATCCTGTACAGTGCAAGCCCGTCCAAGTCATCCAATAAAGTGCCAACAGCGTTCCATTGTCAATCAGTTCTATTTATATGTGTGTGTGGCTTACATATATACATAATATTGTATATATATATTATATTATATTATGTTATATTATGTTATGCTATACTACAATATATAATATTATATTATATTATATTATTTTATATTATATTATATTATACTATATTATGTTATGTTATGTTATGTTATGTTACGTTATGTTATATGTATATATATTTTACGTTATATTATAAATATCTTAGCCGCTCTCCGAACAGCTCTTTTTCTCTCCAAAGTCGAGTCACCTGTGGGATAGGGAACTGGCGCAACCCTGTCTAGCAATCGAAATTCCTCTGGTAGGACCCATGCAATCCCAGAGCAACCTGGCGCTAAACATCTCACCCAGAGAGAAACACCCAACTCTACCTCCCCGGGTGGGCGGCGGGATTTAAAACAGGGAGGACTGTTCGGGCGCAGGGACTTGACCCAAAATGGCCACGTTGTTCGTCCCTCTGACCGGACATTTACTTTAGCACCTGTGGCACAATCTGTAAACATCTTAGCCGCTCTCCAAACAGTCTTTTCTCTCCAAAGTCGAGTCACCTGTGGGATAGGGAACTGGCGCAACCCTGTCTAGCAATCGAAATTCCTCTGGTAGGACCCATGCAACCCAGAGGAACCTGGCGCTAAACATCTCTCACCCAGAGAGAAACACCCAACTCTACCTCCCCCCGCTGGTTGGGCGGTTATCGGATGTCACCTCTCTCTAGTTCTTCCCCCCAGTGTTCCAGTGCGCCAGCTGGAATGGTGAGAGTGTGGCGGGCGCCGCCCAAGGTGCCAGTCTTGGGCGGTGTCCAAGTACCTCCCAACTCGATGACTTGCACAAATGAATTACGAGATGGACCATCTGCCAAATTACTCTTAGACTCTACATGGTCGATGTAAATGTGGAGCTTATGATGTGCAGCGGTTAGCCAAAAGGAACCGACGAGGAGAGAACTGTCGGGTTGAGAGGAAAAACCCTTCACCAAATTTGGTGGCTGCACTGTCGTTATCGACGACCATAAGTATTGAGCGCTCGCAGATGTGTGGGGCCCAAAGGTCTAATGCCCAAAGAGGTGCGATAAGTTCGAGCTGCCCCATATAGGATTTTCTCGGTCGCCACGACTGCACCATAGTTTGGGGAACCTCCTGCGCCGAGTAGAACAATTGGTGTGTTTCTGGGATGAAAAGAACCGCTCCGACCAGTCTTTGTGGCTGACGATCGGGCACATCGGAGGCGTCTGCGTATAGAACCAAGGGAGGGCGGTCAACCGGGAAAAGTTCCCGTGAGGGGCAATGGTCGAGGAAGGCGAGCATCATATGTAGAGACCATTTGAGGTCGGGGGTCAGACCCTGATACCGGCGTTGAGAATACTGCCGCTTCCGTAAGGGGCCGGTGCAGCATCTTTCTTCCCCTCAACAGATCCCAGGGTTCTGCGACCTTTGTCTCTTCTCTCTGAAGATTCACTGGTTTCAAAAATTCTATACCTCCCGGAGCACGGGTCGCGCGCGCTCCCGAGAGGAGCTGTCCCTACTTCTTGGCCTCCCTTCCTTCTTTGTCCTTCTTGCGCTCTTCTTCCTGCTTGCGCTTCTCGCGAGTCCACTGCTTCTGCTCCTTCCGAAAACCTGGAGGGGGCTCGTGGCGCTTGCGGCAGAAGATGCACATCCGGAGTTTCGGGGGCTCGCCGGGTCTGTCCCTGGTGGTTCTGTCCGGGGTCCGTGACCGCTTCGTGCCCTTCTTCTCTTCCCCAGCACCCTTGCTAGTCGATGGCCTCTCCTTCCCTTGATCGGGGTGGCCTTCCGGCTGCTGGCTGAGGAGCTTCCAGAGCGGCTCTGTCTTGAACTCCCGGGTGTAATGGCTGAGACCGGCCTCTACCGATCCTTTTCCTTTTGCCACCCGCTTCAGGATACTTCAGGATCTCACCAAAAATCTCCCTGTCTACGCGACGCGGGGTTTCGCATGCCCTGCGCGGTAACCCCTCGCAGGCTGGCTACGCTTCTCTCCCCATTTATGCTTTCATCACGTACTTGCAGACGTCTAAGATGTGAAACGCCCTTGCTCTCAGTTCGAAGAGGTCCTGCAAGGCCGCCAGGTTGTCCACCATACACGACCGTCTCCGGGAACTCGATGTCCGTGTCCGTCATCTTCAGGCTCTTTCCCTCGACCACCAGCTTCCGTTTGTCTTTCGGCAATTTGCCTGCACGCCTCAACCTTGATTCAACTTCCATTGAAACGTACGATTCCCAGGCCAGGTGCTGAAAGGTTCAATTCGGCAAGAAGGTCGCCTGCACCTTGGAGAGCGTGTGGAGTGAGGGTCGCTCCCTGTCCGATGTGGCCTCCGGCATGCCAGTCTCCACAGCCTTGTCTTCGAGCTCTTGAGCATGGGCCAGGGTGATTTTCGTCTTGCCTTCACCCACTTCTCCTGCCAACCTCTCCAGGTGGCGCTTTGCCACCTGGGTGGAGAGCCCCCAAAGTTTGCGGAGGCAGCCTGTATCCGGCTCACATTTGCAGTCGTCCCATGAGAGGATCGTCGGCTTGTCATAGACCACGATTTCGCCATTCTCATCACGATATGCCCCCCTCTTCCGCAGCACCTTCCTGAGGTAGTCCTCAAGATCCACGTTGGCTGGGAGGCAATAGGCCATGGACCTTGAAGCTGACAGCAGCTCGTCCGAAGGCCAGAGCCGACCTTGCATCCGCCATCTCAGCGGGAACTCCCAAGTCCGGGGGGGTCGGGTGTTTGATCCACTCATTGGGGCATCGGCACATGCGTCTACAATAGAGGTGCACTCGTCACGTCCAAACGAAAGGACGTGGATCCCCAATGGACACTTCCAGCATTGCATGAAATCCTGCGAACTGGGTTGCATGGCTACATGGTTTAGACAATCTTGCCCGAATTTTTGAGACGCGTCGTATAGGTCAAATGTCGTCTTCTAGCACCTCTTCACTGTGCAGGGTGCATCTGCGCCTACTTGCTGGATCGAAGCCCGGCTCACTCAGATTCAGATGTCCTGGTACTTGGTCGCCTCTGCACCGCCGCCCACAGCGCAAGACGCCCCGGTCGTTCTTCTTCAACACAAAGTCGCACAGCAAGGGGCGCGTGGACGACTCGACGTTTCTTCCAAAACACTTGTTGCAGAGTTTATAGTCCACTCCCCTTTGTGAATCCTTCCCGTCCCGGTTGCCGCAGGGTCGGCTTCACTGTCGTCCGAATCCGGCCCTTGCTCGACCGCGTTGGGTGTAATCTCAACATGCTCAACCGGGTGGTCCTTGTAGCACTTTGCTGAAAGCTCCCTCTCCCCCGTTCCGCCCCGCTGGACTTTGGCAACCTATCCTCCTCGGTGAGGGTTTCGACCGTGGCCCAGTCGGGCTGTCGCATACTGTCAAGCTCCCGGCCCTCCAGGGTTTGAATCACCGCCCCGCGGCGAATTTGGTCTAGCACCTCAATCTGCGCCTTCAGAACCAATATCTGAGATTCGCGGAGGTACAAATCTGGCATGAGTTCTGCTGGATCGTAGTTTTGCAGCTATGCCACCTCAGGTGCAATGCCTGCTCCCTAGGCATGATGCTCTGGTTTCCGGCGTCTATATCGGCCAAGAGGGTGCTTCACCGTCAAATTTTCCTCGGAGATTCGAGGGGAGTACATCTCCCATCCCTCCGACTTCCCCGCTGCCCTGCCAACGAATGAGTGAGTGCGCCAGTCGTGACCATGCATCACCAGGAGGAGCTCCACCCACCTGATCAACCACTTGTCATTGTCCGGATGTACTCCCAAGAGGCTTGCTGCCCAAGTCCTGGGGCCGGACTTGGTACACGCCGCCTTTGCACGAAGCCCCAGCACCCCGGAACTGCCAACCACCCGGCACCACTCAACGTCACGCATTGCTGTTCCTGCTAGGTCCGAGTGGCGAATGCTGGATTGGGAGCACACCACAAGCGATGCGGGTCTGGAGATCCCGGTTCTCATCCAGCACCACTTTCTCCAACCAATCCAAGAAGCGGATCTCGAAGAAGGGTGCTGGTCTGCGTTCTGGGGCTTTGCCCACATAGTCCGTACAGAGCCTACGGACACGGGGATGAGCGCAGCCCGGCGAATGGTACCCAAAGAGGCCTCCGAAGTATTCCACTGCGTACAGCGTACAGGAAGCTCCGCGGGGTATAGAACCACATCTTCCTCGATCAGGCCAATGACGAAGGCCTGAATGGCCTCAAGTCCCATGATCTTGGGTCCTGCGTCTGAAGGAGCTCCGTATTTGGTCTCGTAGGCTTGGAGATACCTTCCCAGGAGCCGAGCATACCAAGCAGGTCCATTTCCACCTCGTGGAGTACAAGCTCCTCGAACAGGTTAGTTGCAATCTTTCGGAACTCCTCAAGCTTAGCCTCTTCCAGTGGACGACTCCTGCGAGGAAGGCCCAAAGGCACATACGGCGCCACACGAGAGGTTGTGGCCTCGGACTCTTGCGGTCGATCTGCTCTTTTGGAGAACTGCCCAAAGATCCCAACTTCATCCAGCCGTCTGGTGATCCTGCCGGGATCCAACTCCGGCTCAACCGCTGATGTCCCTGGCTCCTCATCAAACTCCTCCTTCACCCGCGGTTTCGGAGAGGGAGGGATGAGGGGACCTGCCTTCTTGGAAAATCCGAGGGGCGAGTGTGCCGATCCCAACGCCCAGGTAGGAGTATCCCGGGACGAGCGGTCGGATGACAAATGCGGCGTAAATGCGGCGTAGATGCGGCCGAGGATGAACTGTCTGAGACGGTGGGTGCCTTTACCGGCTTCTCCACCTTCTTCTCCAGTGTCCACTTAGGAGGAGCCATCCGGGAACTCTCCGGTGGTCTCTCTTCTGACTGACTGGGACTTTGCTGCAGGTCTCTCCAGACCTTCCACCTCTCCTTGGAGCTCCAAGGGTTGATCTCCTTCTGAACCACTCCGGATCGCTTCCAGGATTTCGCTTGAAGGGACACCGCTCTCGATCAGACGTGCGATCTCTTCTCGAGCGGACCAGGCACCAGCTGCGAAGAGGCCGCTTGTCTTGCCCAGCTTGGTCCTGTCCCTTCTGGGAGAAACTGCATCGATCCTTTTCGAGCCTGGCCCCCTCCCTCGGCTACCGCTGCGACCACGGCCTCGAGGGGGGTCGAACAAAGTTGCCGGTCGTCCAGTGGGGGGTCTATCCTGCGCCCAAGGAGGAACAGCCATCTCCCCCCGTTGATTTAAAACAGGGAGGACTGTTCGGGCGCAGGGACTTGACCCAAAATGGCCACGTTGTTCGTCCCTCTGATCAGACATTTACTTTAGTACCTGTGGCACAATCTGTATATATATATATATTATGTTGTTACCCACCACAATTCATGATCAAGTTGCTCAAATCGGCCACAGTTGGACTTCATGCCCGTTCCGCCATATCCAAATGAGCGCTCGTCGGTGCCCAAAGCGCGACGCCCTTCAAGAGCAGCCCATCCGACTCTCAGTAGGCACTCATTTTTGAGCTCTACCTCGTACTGATACGCACCTGCCCATGGAATTTGGCGATGTTCCAAGTCCACGGGACAATAAAGCACTGCCCCTCCTTGAACTCAGTTGAACACATCGTCGTCTTGTGCCAAAGTCAGAATCCAGCCTTTCAAAACACCGGGTCGTCCCCGGACACCAAGCCAGGCATCATCTGCGTTGCAGCTTGCCGAGCATTTCGATTCGTCGATCTCCACACCCTGAGCATCTCGATCGTAAGATAGTCACATGGCCGAGTAGTCTAGTGATGCTTGGTGGCACAAACACCAATGTCCTAGCAGCCTGCTCAACCTAAACGGCCTTTGAGAAAAACTTCTTCCTCCGAGAAATCCAAGTTTGTCTGAAGATCTTCCTAACGCTGGGATGATGGATTGCAAGTGGACGGAGTAAGATACATCGTCCTCCAATCGAAAACACTGGGAGGAGTTGACAGCCCCACTCAAGAGCTAAAGCATTAAGTTTGTCAGATATAGAAAACAAAAACAATTCGAACATCAGATCAGAGTTTCTTGTGGATCTTATGGTCTTTTCCAGGTTGCTCCAGGAAGGATTACGCTTCAAATTGGCGAAGTCACTGGCACAGGAAAACTGGAGCAGGCCGCAATCAAGAAATAGCCTAGTGATTTGGTTAAACATGCACATATGTACTCTTTAAAATGCTTGTCTGTAGACTTGCATAGCTGAATTTTGTGTGTCCCTTGGGGTCGGATTACATCACGTCTTTGTTGCATCGGTTGAATGACATTTCTCCACCTCATCAGCATCTGCTTGCTCCAAGTAGGCAAAGAGTGCCATGGCAGATCTTGAAACAGTGGAATGATGTCAGTGTGGGGTGTCAGGCTATTATAATATATATATATATATGCGTGTACTGTATGTATGTATTTATATGTATCTATAAGCTATACATATATATATATATATCGCAAAGGCGCCGCCGCAAAGGCGCCGCAAAGGCGCCGCAAAGGCCTCGGTAATTGCCGTGATTGCCTTGCTCGGCTGCTGAGATGCTGGCTGCTTTGGGTGGACCCTTTGGCTTGAACTTGCGGCTGTAGCAGAGCCATGATACAACTAAAATTGATACGATCCTCGAAAGGAGTTTGTTATCATCAATGCCTCTAAACAACAGAAGGACAGAATAGCAGCGACGCTGCACCTTCTTCTTTTTCTTTTTCTTCTTTGTAGCTGTACCTGCACCTTCACCTTCTTCCTCCTGAGGGCATGCAGAAACTGCGATGCGTCATCAACCAAGCAAACGTTCAAGTATGAGACTGCGTCAAAGCTTGCGTCAAAGTCATTGTGTTGGCGTTACCTTTCTTTTGAACACCCGCTTGGTGTGCTGATACATCAATGGCATGACCGCGAAGTGAACTTCCAGCACAGCTTGGGAACAGAATTCAGTATTCAAACAGGATACAGCCAACCAGACTGAACTCAGCCAGCAGGTCAATGACAAGTCTCCCCCCAAAAAAAAGGTAGCAAACGCAGTTCACCTGCAACGACGGTGCGGTTCACCCCTGCTGGACTTCCTAATGTACAGTATGTGTTTGATTTAAAGAAACCAAAACAACTCAACAGAATCACATGCAAGAAACACTACTTTCTGCCAGGTCCCGTTCCCCTGTCTGACGGACACAAGTTGCTACTGTAATTCTTCCATCTCCATCTCCAGAAAGCCTCGCCGTCATCCTCGTCGTTGCCCTCGTCAGCCTTTCAGGTGTTGCACCGCTTGCACAAGCAAATCAAAAATACATAGAAACATTGAAGGCCAGTGTCGCTGTACAATTAGAATTGGAATGTATTGAATATATGAGGCATGCTTCTTCGATTGCCTGCCTCCGATGCATCACTACACTCATCCAAGAAAGCTAGAACTGGTCAATGACAAACTTGCACCAAAGGAAGTGTTGTATAAGACGCTCCAACAGCTGCCGTAGCTCGCTCCCAGTCAGAGTTGCTGCATCTTTTCTCCGATGCGCTTCACTTTGATCAGTCGTGCCACAACCACAGGCCAGGGAGGTGGCAACGGCTTGTTGGACGTTGTCTCACGCTCAATTTGTTGTTTTAATGGCACGAGGCGCACAGCCACAAACCGTGCCCAAAGCTACATAGAGGTTCCTCAAGTCTGTCGTGTGGCATCACTGTGGGCCAGCTCTTTCTTTTCACCTCGGGCGGCAGCCACTCAGTTCACCACTTCTGAGTTCATGGTGTAGGTGTGGATGGACAGAGCACCCAGGCTCATAAACTCAAAGTCGATGCCTGAGCTTTGTACGGGGGAGTGCCTTTGGCACCAACTTCTGCAATATTTTCAAGTTGTCCATGATCTGGGGCAAACGAGCGTCCTGAGTCAAAGTTCAAGAGTTTAACCGGATTTGGATGCGTTGTCCTACGCAATGAAATGTATCGTGCAAAACGAAAACGCGTTGACTTCCGAAGAGTCAGAAAACTCAAAAACTGACGAAACAAAGGTGGGCTTAATGGTCCAAGCAGAAGGGGTGGCCATGGGGCCTGGGTTTTGGTGTTCTATAAATATTAGGCAAGTGCTTCAGTGGCACAGTCAAAACCAACAAAAACACTGATGAATGTGCATAAAGGATCAAAAACACTTAAGAAAAATAAACTTGGGAAAACCAAAAAAACAAAAAAACAGTTCTCAGAGACTCTTGGCTGGACCCCCCTCTTAAGAAAAACAAAAAAAACACCTTGGAAAAACCAAAAAAACAATTCTCAGAGACTCTTGGCTGGACACCCCCCTTTCCTCAAGACTTCCCCAGAATTGTTTTTTTTAACTGTTGTTTGGTTTTTTGGTTTTCCCAATGTTTTTTTGGTGTTTTGGTTTTTCCTAGGTTGTTATTGGTTTTCTCGAAGCTTTTAGTGTTTTTTGGTTTTCCTATTTAGGTCAATCTGTGTTCTTACTATTTCGTTCAACCTTCAAGCATGTGAGCCTAAGCCTCACCTAAAGGCATATGTTCTTTGCTCTTACAATGAAAGCGTCTGAGCCCAACACTCCCTTTGTCCTTGTCGAAATCTCCATGTACAAGTCTGTGCATTAACTTCTGATTGGTATCAATGTGGTTGCCAATTGCATGTCCAATCAGCTTGACATGAAACTGTAATGAAACCTTCCAATTTACATGAAATTGTTATGAATCTGTGTAATCTGTAGTTCTAATTCAATGCTTGTTGCTTTTGCTTCGGCTTTGTAATTTCGAAGCCTCCTCGACTTGTGCATCTTGTAGCTCAAGCGTTTTACATCTTATTCTGGCGAACTTCTAATTGTAATTCCAATTCCTTTCTAATTCAACTCTCATCTAATTTTAAATAGGTTATAGTTATAGTTCAATACAAGTTTAGTTGAAATTCGGTTTTAATTCAGTTCTATCTTGGCTCTAACTCAAATCCAATTTTATTCTACCTAATTCTATTCTAGCTCTAGTTTATTTAGTTTAAGAAAACACACGCTACAAAACCCCGTGTTTTACAGTATTTTCTTGCCCTGGGAGTGCTGGGAACAAGACTAAAACTATTGTTTGGAGTAAACAGTTAGATTTATTTATTTACAGTAATCACTGGAAAAATATAGACATATTAAAAATGTTTTATGTACAAGCTTCTAATTCAAGAGCTTCCCTCTAGATCTCTGGGGATGATCATTTCTACAATAAAAATATATAAAAGCTTTCATTTCAAAAGCTTTCCTCTGGATCTCTGGAAATGGTCATGTCAATTTAAACATGCTATATATCAATAAATAAGTTCTTCTTTCAAGAGCTTTCCTTTCATGAAAGCACACATATATGGGATATCTACTTACCCAGAGATCCAGAGAAAAACTTTGAAAATGCAAGCTCTTACCCGCAGAAATCTAGAATAATGCTTTTAACATACAAGGTTTCTATATAGTTGTTTAAATCTAAAAATGATTATCTGCAGAGATCTATAGAGAAGCGTTTATAACATAAAAGCATCTACATAAAATCTTTCCAAATCTAAACATAAGCAGAGATCTAGAGGACAATTGTTAAAATAGACACTTTTATGCTGATTCAGGAATACATAATATATTTGTTCATATAGAGAGAGCAGGAATAGATTATATATGTGTTTATATGGAGAGGGGCTGCCACTGAAGCATTTACCTAAAATTTTTGGAAAACCAAAACCCTGGCCCCATGACCACCCGCTCTCAAACAAAGGTGGGCTTAATGGTCCAAGCATCCCTGTTCAGCTCGCTCAAACGGGCCAGAACTTCTTCGCTGATGGCCTGAATCACTGGAATACAAATCACACATGCGAGGCGATTTACACAAACCATGCTGGGAAACATCAGCGAATCACCCCACAGTACCTTCGCTTGCCCACACTCAATCACCACACACGTGTTCTTTGCTCGGGATTGCGCTATCCCAATCACACTGGTATGTTTCAGCAAGGTTATTTGCAAACAAAGTAGTCCATGCTCGCATCACAGAGTTTGGACTTAAACCCGGTCTCTTGGGCATCTGCGTTGGCATATTGTTCAACGAGCTGTATCAGTCAGTGTTTTTGCTTTTTCTGAAACTTTTTTTGTTTGGATGTTGCGGAACTGAACTTTGCATGTACGTGTGTACATATATATATATATCATATGCATACACAGCAAGTGTGCCCAACCCGCAGTGTTTATGCTAAACAGTCCCAGAACTTGTATATGCAGGTCAGCACTCTTGGAAGCATCACGAGAAACCTGTCTGCAGTGAACGACCGTAGCCTTGATAGGAACAAGTGCGCATCAGCTCAACCTTCACTCGACAAACAACCTAGCATAAAGAGCAGAAGTGCCATGAGTGCAAACAAACTCGGACAACCTGAGTCAAACAAACAAACAAACAAACAAAGAGGCAGGCAGCACGCAACGGTTTTGCTTTCATCCGGGTCCTTGTTTACTTTAAGGGTTCTGTCTTCTTGCTCTTTTTCGGGCCTACTTTACATGCTCTGAATCCATCCGGAACTGCACACAGCACGGATATATGTGTATATGTATATATATATATATGAGGAAAAGCCAGCAAAGTCATCCTAAAAAGGTCTCTGCGGAAAATACGTTCAGTCTGGAGTCTTTCCCCACCGTGAAAGCTTCGACTCTCAAAGCAGGTCACACTTTACTCGAAGCCTTGGCAAATTTTTCATGCCGCACCCTTCTCCTGGCTGCAGAGCGTACCTGTGCTGGCATGTTGTATCAAGAGGTGCAAGGATACTTACCAGACAGGACGAATCGTCAATTCAAGAAGTGATCAAGCATCAAGCAACAAAACGTTGGGCGCCAGTACTACGATCTGGTGAGTGGAGAAGTTGTGGATCGTCCTGTCATGATCATCATTTGGTCATCTCAGCACTGGAATCTCAGCACTGGAGCCTTGTTGTCTTACAATGCTGCCATCATGATAGCAAACAGAAGGATTCTGAGCACAGCAACCGAAATCAGATCAATCTGAGAGACCGAAAAGCTATATAAATGCACCCGCTCTAGGTCTACAGCTTGGCTGCCTTGCAACCTGCTTCCACAAAATGTTCATTAGCCTGGCATCAAACAGATGTTTGTCAGCAGGCAGAATTCTATGACTTTTCTCATCATAAAGCTGTGCCTCGCTTTTGGAAAGTCCAGCTCGTTCATCGAGACCACCTGTCAGACAGGCATCCTGAGGCTGAAAAACCAAGTGTTATGCTACCACTGCTACCTCTCAAACAACTCAGACAGCTGCAATCTTGGTAATCTGTGTCGCATCAAAATCTTCCACGCGATCAACGACCTTGAGCGTGGTCTTGACAAGATTTTCTTGAATTTGTTAGTATG